ACCATGTGTTTTTTTAAGCTATTCCACATCTCATCATTTTTGTCAATGTTTAACCCTAATAAGTCACATATGTATCTCCCCCACCATGTTGTCTTTGATGAAAATTCTTTTCCTTTTCAATCTCTATTCTTACAAGCTCTTTGAGTCACAAAAGTCACTGCTTCTACTTACTTTTCTTGGAACTACTTCTATCTTGCCAAATATTTTACCATATAATATTCAAATTTTGCCACCTCCTAATCCTATAAAACCTACATCTTAGGTATCATCTACTTTCTCAACTCCTCAACCACCTATATCCACTCTATAGGTTCCTCGTTTATGGCCTTGGATAGTACAACTTCACTTATTTTTTTCAATATAGGTAATCATCACCTCCTCATCCCACCACTATTATAAGGTATCAAAATAACATAAGCAAACTTGAGATGATTTTTGACTATCTTGCTATTTTAGAAAAAAAAAAAACTCTATACACACTCAAGCCATAAAACATGTTTATTGGCATTTTGCCATTGAAGATAAATTTGATGCCCTTGTAAATAATCACACATGGGATATAGTTTTAGCTTCTAACATAAATAATTAGTTACAAATGGATTTATAAAATAAAGCACAATCTTGGTGGGATAATTCATAGGTATAAAGCCTGTTTGGTTGATAAGGGCTTCACTTTCTACCTACATTGATTTTCACTCTACCTTTAGTTCGGTCATCAAGCCCACAATACTTTGTGTGATTTTGTCCATTAGTACCCAATTTTCATAGTCATTTCATCAATTAGATGTCAATAGTACTTCCTTTTAAGGAATTCTTTAAGGAACCTTGGGGAAGAAGTCTACATGCAGCAACCACAACTTTGTTCCTCCTCAATTTCCTAATCATATATATTTTCATCCTCTCCTCTGAAAAGACACTTATTTTTCTCTTTTTCTATGTTGATGATATCATAATCATTAACAATAACATGTTTAACCAATGAAGTTAATCAGTCTTTACTCATCAATTTTCCTTAAAGACCTTGGTGACCTTAAGTTATTTCTTAAGGTAGAAGTGTTATATACCAATGATGTTCTTATTCTCTCTCAAAGTAAATATATTGTCAATTTGTTCCGCAAGCATAATATGAGTAATATCAAAAGAGCTCACAGTCTACACTCTACCATAGAGAAATTGCGCTTACAGGATGGTTTACCTGCCATAGATCCTTCAAGATACAGGCAAATCATTAGTGCATTCAATATCTCTCCTTCACCAGACCAGGTATCTTTGTGTGGTGAATTATTTATCTCATTTCATGCATTCTCCTACTATCGCACATTGGCCTATTGTTAAACGTGTTCTTCACCACTTCAAGCAAAACATCAGTCATGGCCTTCTACTTTGGCACTCCTCATTTATGATGTTTCATGCCTTTTTTTATGCTAACTATGCTGGCAATGCAGATGACAACACCTCCACTGTAGCTTATATTATATTTTTTGGTGTCAATCCTATTAGTTGGTCATCAAATTAATTGGTGTACTGGTGGTTATTCTTCTATTGACGCTAAATATTGCATTGGGACTATCACTATTACTTAATTAAATTAGCTTCAAAATCTACTCCAAGAACTCTATTTTTTTACAATCTCTTCCACTTATAATTTACTATGATAATGTTGGCTCTATCTATTTAGGTCACAATGTCGTTTTATGCAGTCGTATGAAGCATATCAAAATTGATTTTCATTTTGTTTGCTCTCAGGTCCATAACAAGCAATTCTATGAAGTTCATGTTCGTTTTACAAATTATATAACTGACTTGGTCATAAAGCATTTCAGCTGTCACCAACATCAACCTCAATTTCTCAAGATTAGAATTTTTGATACCACGACTATTTTGCGGGGGCAGAATAAAACATAAGCTCTAATCCCACATAATATACCTCAATTATAGTTGGTTAGTGCCCCAAATCATAGTTAATTAATCAAAAATCTACATCAGCTCCAATCCCACATAATTTATTTGATTGGTTAACAAATTTTCATTTAATTTGTTTGATTTTCTACCAAATATAAAACCTAAAATTGTTCCATCATCATCACTCTTGACAATAGTAATTGTATATATGTACATATTGTTTTATGAATAAAATCAAGCTATTCATAATCTTTAATAACTTATAAGTCTAAGTTTATGATTAAATTTTTTCAGAATGAGGCTAATGTGTGAATAATCTGCCCTTGAATAGGAATGAGATTTTGCACTTGACCACGCTTAATGTGACTCCTTTGAACCCGATCCAATTCCTTTTCTTTTTTTCTTTTTTTTTTTTTCGTTACAGTGCGGGTTCAAATTTGATCAGATTTAAATTAGTAAGACAAGACTTGCAAGTCAAGAGAGATTGGAGTTTGGCCTTCTAAAATGTAGTGAAATCTTACATGCTACTGTGTATTTATATATTTTAAATGTATTGTATTATGAATATATTCATATTTATATTAATAAATATAACATAATATATGAATACATATAATTAGTATATACTGTTATATATATTAATAAATTTATTTTAATTTTTTTTTTTAGTATAAATATAATTATATGAATATTAATAAAATAAAATGACTGAGTTGGATAATCATATGCAGTCTAAAAATTTAAAAATATTGGAACTCAGCTCCACGTTCAAAGCAGATTCAGGTTGGGATTTGATAAAATTCATCCTCTATTATCATCCCTACTCTTAATTTGAAAATTTTATCATCACTACACTAAAGAGATTTACGTGAGTATGACAGTAGATGTTATTAAGGACCTTACTTTTTAATCTTAAAAAAGAAAAAGCTAAGCAGCAAATATTTACAGGAATAGGAGCAGATCGATATAATTAATTTACAAGTTAGTTTAATATGTTTCTCTATTTTATTTACTTCCTATTTAAATAATAATAATAAGACAATCACCCACTTGACTATTGTACTCTAGAAGCTTTTATATTATTAACGACCAATTTGTTTTTTTTTTTTTTTTTTTTTGAAAAATAATATAAATAATTGTTGGGTTGATCATAAATTATAAAAATTTTGATTTATACAAAGAATATGAGACTTTAGGCTATGAGGAAATGGAAAAAGAAAAAACAAAAGTAGAATATTCACCATCTTTAAACTTTCTTTCTTTACAGTTGCCTGCATAAATAATAAAATAATGTTAACAAAAAAAAAATAGAAAGGATGAATGAAATGATTCAGAAATTTTGAAGATAAATTCTCTGTTTTAATCTTAAGCTGCTTAATTCTATTAAATCATATCCTTTATATATCTAATAATACCCAAATTTTATTATAAAGTAAAGTTCCCATAAATCATATCCTAGTTTATATCTTTAATCAACTTGGGTTTTTTCTTGAGTGATCGAATACACATTTAATATAGTGCTATTGTAAAAAATAATAATAATAATAATAATAATAATAATAATATATTTGTACTAAAGGAGTTACTTCTTTGAATGATCAAATACATATTTGTTAAATCAGATATTAACTTTTAAAAATTTTACTAATAGTAAAGAATAACCACAATAAAACAGTAGAAAATCTTTAGACCAATTATTTTTTTGACTGAATGTTTAGCACTTCCACCTCTTTATGTGAAAAACGTGGACTTGTTAATGTAAAATATTAATGATACTATTAATTTAAAATATTAAAATTTTTAAATTCACACTAAAAGAACAATAGAAAATAAGGAGAAGTACAAATAATTTCAATAAGTATATATGATATATATATATATATAACTCACGTGGACACCCAAGACCAAATTATTGAAAAAGCAATAAAGGAAGATGTGGGGTGTGGAGAATTTCTATCAACTTTATTTGCTTAACAAGATTAGAGTAAAGGCCTTTAGTTATCATGTGTCAGAAAGAAATCAATGAACATGTAATTGAAAGCCTGTAAAGTGGGTACATCATATCCCTATGCACAAAAAGATATATCCTACAAGATTCCATCCTTTTCAAGATTCTTTCTACATATGTCTAAACCTTCTCTAACCTCAACAACTATTTCTATTCCACTTTGGGTAATTCTTGGGCCCCATTATTGGAAGTCTATTTCTTATTATTCACCATAGCTTTTCGTTTTAGTTGACTATATATACACATACAAACAGATATATGCACAATTTTTACATTCTACTTTACCTCCATTCTTTTCAATAATCACATATATATGCAGAGTTCAATAGAATGAAAAGGCATTCTTCCTTTCCAGCTCTCCATAAGCACTTAAACTCTAGCTAGTCTTTTACAAAAAAACATACACTTTTTGACTTTTTATAGAAGAAGAATTGCAAAAAGATACCAATATATATTTAACTATAAAAGGGATAATCTACAGCTACAAAATTACAAGAACATTATTGGAGCTGTTGAAACCTACTTAAATGACAGGCCAGTAGAAGCAGCCGTGCCAACCGAGCTGGCATCACCAACAGGATAAGAGCATCAAATCTTCAGTTTGACCCATCCTTGTAGCTCAGCAACTTCGAAATCTTGGCATCGACAATAGATTCATTCTGTTGAAACATAACATGCCAAGAGTCAAGAAAAATTCATACTTCAATGTTCATGTTCTCTAACAGGAGAGAGAGTTTTTCCAATCCCTAAAAATTTACTGAAACCTTATAGCCATTTAAACTGTGCTTGTTGCAAGCTCTGTTCTCATCTTCACTCTTGTTCCAGAACTACTAGTATCTTCTTGGCTACTCTTTAGAACATTTATTGGTGTTCTTGTTCCAGGATCAGAAAATGAAGAGTTACTTAAAGTAATTAGTTTATCCTTTCTAGACTCATCTGAAGATGATCCCATCTTAGACAGAATCCTTTTCAGCTGAGACCGCTGACAGACAATGCGACCTTTATTCCATGCTGGGAAAGAAAATGACAACGGCATATTCTCCTGCAGGAATGAATAGGCAGCCTTTGCAACAGGAAATTCCATAGTAAATGAACTTTTCTCCATTTGCCCTCGTCTGCCAAAGATTTTGAAGGCAAAAAAAAGGCTTAGTGAAAAATTGCAACTGCCAATTTGGTTCATTTCCACTTTTCACACTTCAAGGAAATCAAAATAAGGATTGTAGCTAGTTAAATATCAAAAAGCATGTAATTGTGCAAGTCAAGACTCACATAAAACAAGAACTAGGAATTAGCTAGTTGAATGAGAAACAAACCAAACGGCATTGAAGCATAATCCTATGCACTTGGCAAACTGGCAGGCATATATATACGACAGCAGAAAACAGCCACATATATGGTCACTTGCACCTCGTGAGAACCATCAATTGTGCAGTGCAACAGACCTTGTGGTAATTAGGCATAAAAGGCATATTCTGAAAGCAATACCACATGCATGCCTTCAGCCCATTGGACTCTGTTTCAGACAAAGTTTCTTCTGGTAGACCAGGTAAGCATAGGAAATATGCCCAGATTGAACTTTTCCTTTGCACAAATGCGTGCACATGGATATATAAGCATACACATACAAGAACAATTCAGGAAGCCACTAAATATGGAGAAACACTTTTGATGTGAGCAGGGAAAGGGAAAAGAATTTCTTCATAAGAGAGAAATCGGCTAAGATGGAAAGAGGGAGATTCCCCATGGGATTTCCTTTCCTATTCCTGTGTGAAATCTTCCCCTTAAAGGGGAGAATCACCAAGGGAAGGAAAATTCCTCCTAAGTCGCAATTAATCCTGGAAGAAGAGGAAAACACAATTAAGGGGTGCAAATCTCATGGTTTAGAGAACTTATGGGCAACCATAATGCCTCTTATTAGCCAGTCCTAATTCCCCTTTTTAGTCCCCTTAAATCTTCCACCATTAATTAAAATCCTCTCTATCTAAAAAGGGAGATCATATCTATCCTAGTTTAGAAAGCAATCCTTTTAATTGTTGTAAGTTTCTTATTTTATTTTTCTATGTAATTTTACAATTAATTTAAAAAATTATTTTCCTTATTATTCACATGACCTATACTATAAATAGACTATTAATTCATAATTGTATTCATTCAAGTTTGAAATCAATAAAATTCAAAATTTTCTAACTTTTCAACTAGTAAACTTTTCTTCAATCTTCTTGTTGAGTTGAGAATTGATGTTTACTTATCAAGATAACTTGTGATATTTTTATTAATCTTTTTCTAAATTAATTTTAACTTATCAAGATTTTTTTTGTGGCGTTCTAATCAATTCATTTATTTCTCTTACTTTAATTCCAATCACAAGTTGATTGTGGATTGAGTAAGAATGATTTATTCAGGGATTAAGTTTTTGGTACTAATTTAAATTATGTGAGTTTTTGATCACATTGTTGATCTTAGATTCCGCATCAACTTTTGTTTAACTTAAGTGCCACAATGACAAGAGAACCAAAATGTCATCTGGCTTGTGTGAAATGTAACTTCACCAGAGAAAATGTAGCTAGTGGAAAGGACTAGAGAAAAGAGGGAAAAGGCTTACACCACAATAACGGTTGCAAGCTGAGGAAGATCCTCCCCACTTACGAACATTTCAAACATATTGTTCAGCCAAACTGACATTGCCGTATACATGCCTCCTTTTGACATCCTGCAAATCATAGACATGAAATCGGGGAAAAGAAAACATATCTGAAAGAAACAACTAAAGATCTGGTCCCATCATACCGGTGCACATCAACAGACCAGACAAGTTTGTTCTTACGGAAAAGTTCTGGAAAAAGCCCACGTTTTGTTGCTTCATTGAGCACTCTTGAGGCCCGTTCTTTCTGACCCAACCACCAAAGTGCTTCTAAAAGAGCATTGTAGAACCTTATTCCCAAACTACATCCTTCAGAATTAAGTTTATCCAATATGTACTCTACCATCTGCCAGTTAGCTTCATCATCATAATTCCCCTTGATCATCTGCCCTATCACTTGATGAATATTAGATACTCTGTTAGCTAGCATCTCATCCAGCAAGCCTTTCGCATCATCCCACCTGAAAGTTACGAACTTATGAAAGTCAATTCTAAATATGAAAGAAAGATTTTTCTGTTCTTCTAAATAAGAAAAGACCATTGTTCTGCTCTGATAGTGAGTATATATCAGATACTAAATCACTTAACCACAATTTACCAGAAAGTTGAAGTTCAAAAGCCTACAAAAGTTTTTGTCAGTTTAAAAATCTAGGCTTCTTTTCTTCTGCAGCAAGTTTTGCTTGTCTAGCAAAAGACCAGCACTAGGCTATGGGTACCATAACTAACAATTAAAAAGACCAGCATAGCAGTTCAGAATTATCTTAAATTATGCAATAAAAAAAGCAAGAAAGTATCCTTGCTTGACAGTCAATATGAAGGTATTGCCCCTTTCTAACAACCTGATGTTCAAACTTGGAAGATAGTCATAGTATGCCATGTAAACATGCATTCAATCTATAAGTCATTCTTATTTTTGATAAGCCATTTTTAGTATGACCATGACATCCAGGAAAAAACTATGGAGTTTTCAAGTTCAGGTTCTATATTCTCAATTAACATAGAAAATATTTCCACATAAATGCTAATGTGACACATCTATTTCAGCATGCAGGCAGGATTCAGAAAAGGAGCTACCTGTTGCAGCATATTAATTTGAATAACTTTTGAGACCACCGCCTCTACAAAGCAGGTTTTCAGGTTTAACCGTAAGCTTTTTTGCAAATATTAAGTTACTTCAGGACATCCCCCCTGAGTCCATCTGATGCTTTGCTAGAGATTTTTCAAGCCAGAAGAGGGGTAAAAGTGACAGAAGTCTTTGTAACTAGATCAGGTTATCAATTCCCAAAGGTAGAAGATCTTAAAAAAAATTAAAAAGTGAAAACTTGAAGAGTTCAACAAACTAAAACATAAAAAAATGCCAAAACACTAACTAAATTATATTCAACAAGCTAGGAAAAGTTACAAGTAATAACACTCTTAACTATATCTGTAAACTAATATCATATAGGGTCCGCTTGGTTTGAGTTTTTTATTTTTGCTCATAAGATCATATAGCTTACAAAATCATGGTTTGCTACTCAACACTTACATGCCACAAGCATAAGAGGGTGTTTAGGATTGTCTAAAGAAAAATGCTTAAAATACTAGGGTGGTTAAGTTATTCAAAGCAGATAGAATTTATTTAAAAAATAACCAGTTACATGTTTGGATAAAATGCTGATTATAAAAGATAAGTTTATTTTTTTGATAAAAAACTAATAAAGATACATATATAAATATTTCATAGATTACATTATTACTTATGTTGTTAATTTTAAGTGGATATTAAAAGGAAATTTAAGTAAATTGTTGGACAAAAAAAATTAAGAACCTAAAAGATTAGGAATGAGGTATATTTTTTATTTTCCTAAAGTCACTTTTATGAACCTAAAACCATCCTTACTAAATGAGAAGATTGAAACAATGTGTTTAAAGCTGTTTATAAGCATAAATAAGTATTTCCAGACATCCTCTAAGTCCACAACTTTCACTTAATAATATTTTGCCACAACATCTATCTTCTCACATTGCCTCATCATTTTAGTACCTCCATTAAATGAAACATGGAAATCTGAATCAGTAAGTCAACAAATCTTAAGGTTTAAAGATTGTTTAATCTGCAGAAAGTCCCCATCTCCTCCGACAACTTAACAAAAAAATTAGTCAAGATAAACCATAAGCCACTGACCATTTTGGTAGCAAATACCATAAAGAATGACCAGGTATATACATTCAGCAAATCAACTCTTATCTTCCCAGACCCTTAAACCTTGCAAATCCATCAAGTCCAGATGTTGCATCTAACTCATTGTGACACTAAAAGTTCAATGCTCTTCATTTCCAGGTCCTGCACTAGGACATATAGTTCCTGTCTTGAGATTTGAATACCTTGTAATAGTATCATTGGTCCTCTAGCCTACCAGTCACTTCGGCAGCAACAATAATCCAACCTCAACTGGAAGTTCCTAAAACTTCAAATATGCTGCACTCTTACAGAAATTTCAAAACCATGCAACAGAGAATTCAAAATGCACGTAGCAGAGTTAGCTACTCCAGCATTTTAAGCCCTGTGAATCCATGGAAGCACATTTTTGTTCTTAGGATAGACTGTTAGCAGTATTAAGTCCCAAATATACCCCCAAAAAAGGGAAGGAAATCCATAGTTTTTCTTGCATGTCCACATTTTCCAAGACACATATCATCCACATCAGATTACAATCATATCACAAGGAGGTAGGATAGCTTTTATTTTCTTTCCTGTCCTGTTAGACAAGAACAGTCTTTATGCTCTAATGCTCTACTTTTTTGCATTTTGAATTACCTTTTCTTAATTCTCATTCAACCCCTATCTTGATTCTTCACTTAATTACTAAACTAATCTTGATACCTCGACTTATGTCATACATTTCTCGTTTGAATAATCTCCGCATATCTTGGATCTTTTCTAGCTTTTTGGTCCGTTCATAGTTACACTAGTTTAGTAAAAGAATGAGATAAAAATTGAACTTCAGTTGAATCAAACAGATCATATATGCAACTATTAGCATCTGAAAAGTTTCTTTTTTTTTTCAACAAGAATGAAAAGTTTCTCTTTTTGGTTATAAATTGCAGAAAAGTAATTGAGTTAACACTGACCTTTCAGTTTTTGCATAAACAGCCAGCATCATACAGTAGCACATGACACTGGGCAATATTCCCGAAGCTTTAATTTCCTGGAATTGCTCCTTGCTCTCATCCACAAGCCCAGCAAGGCAATAAACACTTATGACAGCTTCAAGCGTCCGTTCGTCAGGATCACATCTTGCCTTCTCCATATCAACGTAAGTCTTGATAGCTTCTTCAAACTGACCACCTTGCCTGAAGGCTTCAATAACAGCATTGTAAGAGTCTCTATTTCTTGCAACACCAGACTCACTCATCCTGAACAAAATCGCCTCAGACTCCTTATACAGTCCACCTCTTGCAAATGTGTGAAGCAAGGAGTTGTATGTTTCAACAGTTGGCATGCTTCCCACTTCATTCATTGCATTAAAGGCAACAAGAGACTCCTCATATAATGCAGTTTGTCCATAAGCTTCTATTAGCCCAGTATAAGCCTTGGAACTCGGAACAATACCTTTCTCGCTCATGTGCAGTAAAATTTTCTTGGCATCCTCATGGAGGCCTCCCTTTCCACAAGCAAATATCAACCCCTCGTACGTCTCCATATTTGGCTCAACATTCTCATCCACCATATCATGAAATAAAGTTACTACCTCCTCAAAATACCCTCCTTCGCCAAAAACCTGAATCAAAATGTTATAAGTAGCTGCGTCCGGCTCTGTATGGCTTGCTTTCATTTCAAGAAAGAGGTCACGAACATCATCATACCTTCCATTCCTTCCATACAAATTCAACAAAACGCTATAAGTAGTAGCATTTGGCACGCACCCTGCCAACTGTAGCTGCCTAAACACATCCATTGCCTCTTTAATAGACCCGGACTTAGCATACGCCTCCAACAACACATTATAAGACGTGATATCTGGCAAATTCCCTCCAGATTCCATCTCCCTAAGAAGCTCTGACACCTTCTCCAGCTTACCCAGCTTTTCAAACGTCTCCACGAGATAGTTATACGTGGTTACATCAGGAACAATCCCTCCCTCATTCATGGTCCTGAAAACCATCTCTGCCTCATCGCCTAAACCCCTAGTAGCACAAGCACTAAGCAAAGTATTATAAGTAACTATATCAGGCTGTACTCCCGCGTGCCTCATCTCCGCAAACAAACCCAGCAACTCCTCCCAATCCAACCCACCCCTCGCACATGCATTAATCACGGTATTATAAGTCAAAATACTGGGTGAAATCTTCTCACTCTTCATCCTATCAAGAAGCTCAAGGGAAGTCTCGTAATGACCATTTCGGCCATATGCATTGGTTAAAGCCGTGTACGAGAAGACGCTACGCGCCACCCCTTGGCTAGGCATTTCGTCGAATATCTCGGCGCATTTCTCGAGAAGACCCTCGCGGCCTAGCAGACTGATCATTATCGTATATATGTGCTCGTTTGGTTTGCACCAGATTTGACGCTGCATGTACTTGAAGAGTCGAAGGGAGCGTTGCCAGTCGCCACGTTGGGCGAACTCCTTGAACACCAAAGCGAAGTCGTTTAAGGACAGTTTGTTCTTAAAGACGTCGAGGCACCTGGCGATGCTGCCACGAGGTGGCAGACTGCTCAGCTTGTTGATCAGAGTCTCCACGTCGTAGCTATACTTGCCCTTCTCGACAACCACCGAGGGGTTCCCGAGGACGAGCTCCCTGGCCTTGGCCCTTACTTTTCCGGACACGGAAGCGAATCTCCGGTATCCAGGGAGAAATTGGATGTCGCCATGGAGGAAAGTCGGGTATACGGAATTTAATCGGGAGAAAATGGGGGTTTGAATCAGGAAGGAGAGCTGGTGATAATTAGGGTTTGATATTGCGAGATTCATCCCGGTAGTTCGGTTGGCATGAGGTTTTTAGATGCTTTTACGGGTTTTATATCCCCTGGAAAGAAATTGTCTGCTGCAAGTCAAATTTAGAAAGAAACATGGGAGTAATAATATAAAAGAATGGCTTTTCCTTAGGTTGGAGCTCGATAAGAAAATATCAAACTGAATTTTCTACGAACTATTTATCGGGAGAGTGACTGTAATTAGATGAGCAGAGAAAAGGGAGGAAGAGCTTAAGCAAGCAGCCAGCTTCAGTTAAGACACGTGGAGTTTATGTCAATAGTGGATAACAGTGAGGAAGAAGAAGAGCTTGAGAGCGGTCCGGTTTAGCAGGTTTTTCACCCGATATATGTCCGGATTAGTGCCGGTTTGGTCCGGTTTGCTAGACATGGATTCTTTTTTCTTTAAAAAAATAAATTAGTAAATTAATCTTCATATAATTCAGTTATATTTAGGAATTTTAGTTCTTTCCAGACCTTGGTCCAATTTTTTTTAATTTGTATTTAATTTAAATGATTAGTTAAAATTTATGGTATTTGCTGTATAAAATATATCTACTATAGATTATAGTATAGCTAAATTTTGATCATGTATTGCACGAACCATATAATTGAATCACATTAATTTTATTAAAATAAAATATTTAGAGAAAATAATAGTTGTAAAAGATTGAAAATAAGATATCAAAATAACATGTATTTTTTAAATTGTATTAAATGTTTACTTCACTATACGTTGTTAAATTATTCTTTTGATTTTTTTTGTTTTCTATAATATTTATGTAATACTTTTTGTTAATTTTTTATTTTATTATGTTAATATTCATTATTTATATATTAATCAGTATTTATATCATACATATTAATATTTTTATGTTTTTAAAATATTTATAATTTATAAGAGTAACTTTTTTACTGAATAATACAAAATAAAAATTATATCTTTTTTAGAGGTATGTTTAATGAATTCCATGACCCTTATTGTGAAGATGATTATGAATTCCACCACTGACGAAGCTCTCAGTTTTTTGTTGAGTCCCGAACCTGGTCCGCAAAAGACTCAAATGTTTTAACAATGTGGAAATCAAAGCTTGGATGAGATTTGAAGCTGAGAACATGTTGTATATTCTAAAGTTAGGGTTGTTAAAGAGCCCCTAAAGGCGTCGGGATTTGGATTGGAAGGCTCCATTTTCGTTGATGCCCTAACCTTAACCATTACAGAGAACAATTGCAATGATCAATCAAGAAGAAGATCCATAACAAGTTTTTCTTTTCTGAAACTGTAAACATAATGGGGAGGAAACATAGTCGTGTAAACGAAGAAAGCGCATAAAGTTAAAAAAAAGGCCAAAAAAATTCAACAATACCTTCAAAGTCGAAACTCCATTGAGAACTTGGCTTGAATTAAAAACGATGATGAAATAAAACTACGTGAAAGAAAATGTTATGGTCTCAGTTAGAACCTCAAGTAATTAAATGACAATTTCTCTTTTAGGCAAGACTAACCTTGATTTTTGAAACAAGAACACACATACTTTTTATTGAGTTGCAAGAGTTTAAATAAAAGATTACAATAATAATTTACATACTTTAGGATAACTATTACACAAGTTAAAATAACTGCTACATAGGTGGAAGACATACAGGTTGGTGGTTGACAAATAGTAGTGTAACTGTTGGTGTTGTTGATAATTAATGGGGTTTCCTCAATTGTCTGAATATCTTATATTCTTTTCGGCTTGTCTCTTAGTTTTTTGGAGTGTAATTACCCCTTCTCCCCCTCCCCCTTCCTTAGAGAACCTTGTCCTCAAAGTTCAAAGTAGGAAAATGATTAAGTAAATCTGTGGTACTCTCCCAGAGTACTCTCCTAGGTAGCCTTTTCTTCAGGTAGATGCTTCCATTTAACCAGGCTTTTTTTTACGAACTATGAGTCTTTCTTAATCCAACGAATGTCCAGGATAAACTCAAGTTGCACAATAATATCCCCAGCATCATTAGTTAAGGGCAGTTTTTTAGTTAGAGAATAAAAAATGCTTAATTTCTTATGTAGAAGGGAGACATGGAAGATTGGATGAATTTGTGAATGTGCAGGTAGATTGAGTCTGTATGCAACAGGACTAATTCTTTCAACAGTTTGATAAAGACCACAGAAGCGACATGTGAGTTTTTAAAAAGCCCTTTTAAAAGTGGATTGCTAACAATAATATTGGAGTAATTTGGGTTTGTTATTAATCAAATATAAAATGTAATTTTGTAAAATCATGATTCAGAAAATTGTTTAATTTTTTATTATTTAGATTTTGTTTTCTGCTTTTTATGAGTTTACAATATAAAATTTAGCATGAGATTTGTTAAATGATTAAAAAAATTTAGTATTAAATTGCAAATTTAAATAATACTAAATCTAAAATTTTAGGTTTTGTATAGTTCACCCCCCAAACTATAAACTGTATGTCCATAGAATGCTCTCAATAAAGGGAAGATAGACACAAATTACAATTTCACTTCAACCAAGTATCAAATTGTAAGTGCACTATTTGATTACCACAAAATTACAATTTCAAACAAAAAAATCATTACATATTAATTAGTATCAACCCATGTTTACAATTTTTTTTTTTAAAAAATCAAAATTTTATACACAGTTTCCCTTACTTGACTCGAAAGAACAAATACAAATGAGTATCTTGATTTTAAGATAATAAATAAAAATTCAATTTATTGAGTATTAAATCTATAAAATATTTGAAAATAAAATTCAAGAACTTTATTTGGCTGTTACCAGATTTAGAAAATCTTTGGAAATATAATTTATTGTTAATTATTTTAAAATTTCCAAAACTTTCATATTGATAATAATATTAATTTATTTTGGGTAATCTATTATAATTATTTAATTGTACATCAAGTTGGCAATTGTTTCGGAAAGAAGATTATTGAATTTATATATGAAAATTTAATTTTATTTAATAATAAAAATAAAGTAAATATATTTTAATTTAATATTTTATGTATATTATTGTAAATGCATTAAATTAATTATATATATATATCTTTTCATCTATAAATATATTTAAACTTTAATATTTAATCTTTTCGCGAAAAAGAAAAAAAGAAACCAGTGACAAAGCCTATCAATTAATGGGTTCAGGCTCGTCCGTTTGGACAATACGCTGACTTGAAACGACGACGTTGTTGGCTCCTTAATTCACCAACAACCGCTTTCACACTGGGCCGTACTAATCTGTCCTCGGTTCCACCGTAAGCCCGCAGAAATTCACCGCCCAAATGCCAGACATCACGCGCCTCAATCACCTTTCCCGGGGAACCTCATCAACTTGTCATTTTCCACTTCACACCCAAACGGTGCTTGTGGGCCCGCTTCCACAGGCCGAAAAAACCCGACAAAAAGAACCGGACCGGTGCTTACAGTTTGTCAGCTGACGTGGTATTTTCGTAAGTAATGGGAACTTGCGGGGTACTAAGGTAATAATGGTAGCACGGCTTTCAGTTCCTAACAGACAGCTGCTACAAAGGAAAGGGAAAACAAAACAACCTCCCTCCTTTCTTCACAACCTGGTGTTAAATACACCATCACTTTCTCTGCATTCTTCGCTTCCATGGACGATTCCGAGGTGAAATTCTCTCTTTTTCCTCTTCCTCTATCTCATTTACCTCCGGTTTCAGTTACTTTGTTCGCTTTCTTTTTTCGGCTTGGTGATTTTGAACCGCTGTTTTGTTTTCCTTTCTTTTTTTGTTCTTAATTTTTTTGTTTGGTGGATGGACGAGTTGTGTTAACGATAGTCGATTTTGATCTTTTTTGTTCATATACATAGGTGGATACATAGGTGTATCGAGTGTTTGTATGTGAGCTTTTGTTTGATTCTTGTTGGTTTTTTGTTTATTTAATTTTCTTTACCAGAAAATAATGGCTTTGAAGACGGCCTATGCGGAGATAATTCTGAACACGGCCAAAGAAGCAGCGGCGAGGATTGTAATTTCGGAGAAAAAAGCTTTTCGCTATCAGCAAGAGCTCTTTGCGGCTAAAGAGGAGGGGCTGCGGATGCTGCTTAGGCTCAAACAGATGCTGGATTCTAAGGTATAATGCTATTTAATCTCTTGCGTTTGCTTTGGATTTGTTGTGATTTCTGCCTTCCTGTTTCTAGCGGGAACATGTTGTTGGATGTTAAGCTGCTTGTGTTTCGTGATGGTGGGTATGGTTTAAATTTAGTTGGCTGATGATGGAACTTTCTATCGTTAATTGATTTCATGAGTAATTTCTGTGGTGATCGTTCATTGTAATCAAATTTTCTCCTCTAGTTTTTTGTGCCTGCTTTAGGACTAGCTAATTTTTTTTCTGGTGTCAATTCTACAATATTGGAAATAATGTGTTCTTTAGATAATGGTCCTTGCTTCTAACTTTTCTCAGTTCTGCAAAAAGGAGCAGCTACTCCTGTGACAGATGGTGTTCAATTTATAACATTCTCTTCATAGTTCATACAGAACTCTAGCTTTTGAAAGTAGGGAGGTGGTACCGGTGATAGTGAAAATCAATACTAATTTAAATGTCTATTGTCTCTCATCATTACTGTGCATTCAGCCATGTTGCATCAGGATATAACCAAGGTTTTTACATTTACTACTTTTGACAGTTCTCATGCTTTTTCTTTTTGTTGAGAACTTTGGATCAGGTTGATTTGCTTTTATTAAGAAGGGCCCAGATATTGAGCATAAACACGAGCAATTAATGCTGAAATGTTGGCACTTAAGTTGTTTTGCCATGATCATTGGTACTGAAAAAATTCCTCCCCTAGGCATATTTGCTTGCTTTAGGACTTGCTATTATTTTCTTGCATTTGTAGAGGAACAGTAGAATTTAGTTATATGCTCTGTTTTCTGCTGCATCATGTGGATTGGTGAAATTCTAACATATTATGGATGATGTGTTCTTTTCTACAAATTCTTGCTTCTAACTTTTCTCATTGCTTGGAAAGGAAAAGCTAAAATGTCATCAAAATTTTAGGATGCTTAGGATTCACCTCAATAGTATATGCTGAACTCAAGCCTTCAAAGAAGTGAGACAGTACCGTTGCTATTGAGAAGTAATACCAACTTAAGCATGCCATTTTTTAATTATCTCTTATCATTACCGCATATTTGGCTAAGTTGCATTAGGATATGATCAAGGCTTTTAGTTTACTACATTTAATTAATGATGGTTCTATTGTTTCTTTTTTTTGGCTACATAATTCTGACAATGTCTTGCTGATACAATTTTGTTTCATAAAAGAAAGAAGTCTGGTTGCAGTGAACTTTTGTTTGCTGTTATTAAGAAATGCACATATCTTGAGCATAATTAGAAGTAATTAGTGTTGAAATATTGGCATCTAAGTTCTTTCCTGACTTTCAAACACTAACAAAGAACTTATTATCTATTTAAAGGGTCTACCACCTACCTTTGTAATCTCAAATTGGGAATGCAATCCTGCCTTCTTTTCCAATAGGTGATGAACGATTAGTACAATAAGTTTATTGTGGTTTGAAGAAATTCTTTTGCAGTGTTATTTCCCAGAAAAAAAAAAAGAAATTCTTTACCAATGCCTTAACCAAGCAAGTAACGAGAAGGCTGTATAACTTTGGAAAAATGGATTATTTGATTAATCCATTTTTGTTGGCTATTTTCTTTGTTTGGTATTTCATGAAAGAACAGTGGTTGTTGTATACATGTTTTGACTTTGAGTTCTAAAAATGCAAACTTTATTTGAATTTTGGTTTTGTCTGGAGCAGGAGAGGGGTGGGTACTGAAACACAAAATTCTGTCTACTAGAGAAGACCATTTCCTAAGTAATGCTACTAGTTCTAATTTCTGCTTCTGCTAGAGGTTTTGATGAATATTTAATCAACAAGATTTATGCATGATTAAGAATAGTAACTGAAAGATAAGATAGAAAAGAAAGAGATTCAACAGCATTTACCCAGTTCTGTAAATTCTGTCTTTTTCTTTAAGCTCTACAAAACTTTAAGAATTTTTGGTTCAGACATGAGCTTTGGCAAATCAAAATACGCAGAAAACTGCTCTCTTTTAACACAAGTTGAAACATCTTTGTAAGGTCTACAATTGTCATGTCAGTTTTATGTTACCTTTCGTGTCACCTCAGACAACTTTACCTTTTCTTCACGTACTGAATATATTGGTGGAGTTTGTTACCCTTCAAGTAATTTTGTTTGGTGGAATTCTAGTAACTTAAATAAGTTAACAAGATCTTTTTTTTGTTTGATGGTCCCAACCTCTTAGGCTATATCTATTGTAATTTTCTTGTTTGCTCTACGTGGATTTTAAGCTCTCGTATTTCCTACTCTGCCACAATGATAGGTTCATGAAGCTGGGATGACATCTTTGAGTCAACAGAGGAGGATTGAAGAGCTTGAAGCACAACTAGGGGAAGCTGAGGATATAGTAAAAGACCTTAGAGTAGAGTTGGGAGAACTACAAGATGAACTTGAGCAGGTGACAAACCAAATGCAGCTTTTAAATGAACAAAATTCACGAGGAGGAACTGTTGCTTCTGTAGAGACATCTAAGGTGGACAGACTCAATACTTTCCAGAGCATAATTTCTCCTTATCCAGAAGCACAATCTGAAATTATCACAACTTCTGAAATGAAGAATCCACTTTTGAATGGGACATGTGAGATCAAGCAATGTCTTCATAAAGGCAATTGCTATACCTGTAACTCTGATTTTAGCTCCCTAGTAATGAGGCACAAAAAACCTGAGCTGTATAGGAATGGATGCACTCAAAGAATCCATGCACTTGAGAGAAGCCTGTTGGCTGGAAATGTCTCCTTTTCTGGGAAAGAGGATGATATCAAGAATGAATTGTCTGTTAAAGAAGATGAAGAAGTTGAAGATACACATGTAGAACCCTTTGTGGAGGCTGATATTTGCAGAGTAGAGGAGAAGCCAGACAAATATGAAGGGATGCAGGCAGATGATAAACGTACTCAAACTGATGGTATTAGGACCCCTCGCAGAAAAAGGAAAAGAGCTACGAGATTTAAGAAATATAAATCACCATCATCCTATTGATGTTCCTGATCAAATTGCAGAAACATGTGAAACATCTTGTTTTTCTGACAACAGGTTTTGCAGTTCCTCCTAATTACATTGTTGGAGTTGGAGAAGATTCTCAGATGATTGAAAATAATTTTCAGAAGGATCCAGAATCCACATTGACTATAAAATCAGTCTTAGGGACAGCTAAAATACATACACAGGTAGAATGGGAAGAAGTTACTAGCGAAGTAAATGAAGAGCCTATCAAGGCTTGCACTGTCCTGAAGAATGAGAAGTTACTAATAGACAAAATGGAACTAAGGCAGGAAAATGCATGTGATCAAAATCTGGAGGTTCCATTATCCACCCCAGATGTTGAGGCTGTAGATTTATCTTTAGTAAACTCAGTTGTCAGTTTCTCTAATTTGACGGAAATACCAACTCAACGTGTAAATAGTAAGCTCCTGAAGTATACATTCAGCAGGAAGCGGAAGAAAGAGTCTCTGAGCAGTCCTGACAGTTATTGCTTATTTGAGGAGACTAATATGAAGAGAAACCCTGAAGAAGAGAAAAATAGTACTTTGGAACTTCGAAGCCAGAAGTCTAGCTTGATAACTGAATCCCCTGGATACAGTTGGCAGTTAGAACAGCTTGCTCATCAGGTTAGTGAAATTTATATCTGGTGCTTTGTGCGTGTGTGATGCATGCATACGATACTGATATAGTATACATTTCTACGATTGATATAAGAATCATGTCTTATTCTTCTAGATAATTCATAAGATTCACTTGGAAATGAAATAGGTTTTTAGGAGTCTCTAGATTATATATTTTGCAATGTAGCTCAACCATTTTGAAATTTTTGCTGCACTTAAGGTCCTTCTGATTTTGCAAGTTGATTGCAATTTATGTAGAAAAATTTTCACATGATGATAATGAGGAACCTAGAGACGCACAGCCCAACGGAATTGCTTTAGTGGTCTAGGGTGAAAATGGAGTGAATCATGGATTGGATCTTGGGTTTGATTCCTTACTGGGGTTCAGACATGTGCGGAGAATTGAGTGGTTCTTGCTGATCCAGGGTATTAGGGCCTAGTTCGCCATGCAGCAGTGAGCTCAAATGTCCCTGACTTGGTGTTTTTCTGTTTATCCAAGAAAAAAGGAACCTAGCTGCGCATTTCCTGTAGTGACAATTTTCACTCAATTCATCTGCTGCTAGCAATTATGCTCTAATGAATACAACAGATATTTTAATTTCCCATCTCCAGTTTGTCAAATTTAATCTTATCTAAAATGGATTATTTTTTCCACCCAACAACATCATTTGTTAATTTCCCGTGATGCAGATCGTTATAGTTATCTAGCTGTAAATTCCTATATTTATACCAGGACTAGTACTCTATCCAAGGACAGCTTCTGTCTCCCACATATTTTGGATGGTTCAGAACAATTAGCTTTTGAATAATTTTTCGAAGTATACAGGTAAATTCATTTCCATTCCATGTCGATTTTGACAGTGATTACAATTTAACAGAAGTAAGAATTATTCTGCTTCCTATAAAAGAGAATCTCTGTCAACAAAAGCCAAGATGCTGAAAATCCCCTCTACAAGTGCTAGAATGGATGAGAATGATTAGGCAATGTGGCCCTCGAGGGTTTACCTGAAAACGAGGATTGATCCAAGAGAATTAGACTAACCAATGACGATCCTATCCGTTAGGAGGAGTAGGAGGAATCAGTCTTCTTTGACTGAAGCATTAGCCTTGGGCGGATCAGGTGGTACCAGATCGACCTCTAATCGCCATGTGTGGTCAAGGTTCCATTGAGGCGGGACCTTGGGTGTGAGATTGGGACCATCTGGGGACAGGATCCCACATGGCGTGGTATACCCAATCATTTGGTCAACCAGACATAGTATCACTCCCTTTTTGTCATTAACCAAACACAGACCAGGTTTCTTTTCTATCTTGGGTAAGGTCCTTGGCTCGGTCATCATCAACAAAGTAGCGATAGCAGGGTCTGCGTCAAATGGAAAAAAAAAACTGAAGTTGAAAATGAAAAAAAAATAAATAACTTTCCTTTATTAACCAGAGTACACTTGCACTCCTTGGTCTTTAGTAAAGGCAGATTAAGCCAATAAAAATATTTTTTTAAAAAAGTATCAACATCTTACGAATCTAAAGATCTCAAAATGGAAGAATGGGCTCTTTTGTTCACCCTTATCTCGTCAACTTGCTTGTGATTGCAGCCATTCACTGGAAATGGAAAGACGAAGGTTGCAGTGGTGCTGAACGGCCAGAGATTCATTGAAAAGGCAGCCCAGCCAGCCCACCTTTTTAGATCTTGTGAATGAGGGAGCTCGTCTCTGGTGCTGAGAATAATCCTGTTGAACTGAACAGGATTTATTCCAATCTGTCTTCTTGATCTCTTTCGGGCTGTGCTCTATTTCCTCTGTTCCCTACAGCACCCACTTGAGTGCTCTGCACGCAATTGCTTCTTTATATAGTACATCAAGTTCGCTCTAGAAAAACCATACTCGTAGGGAGTGTGTCCGTTGAAATCTAGTCAAAATATTTGCTATCAAGAAGTATATAGACTCCATTGCTCTCATTTATTGGCTAGCCGATTTTCTTAGGTTTCCATCAGGACAAACCAGCCTTCCAAACATTGCATTTGTTAAAACTTATCTTGTTCCATCAGGATATTTTCTGTTTTCCAGTTCTCACCCATGATGGTTGAGTATGTATTCTGTCCCTCAAACCATGCATGATTATGAGAAATCCAATTCTTGTATATTGAATATTGATCCATTTCTTTCTTGTTTCACTAGCAAGGATCAAATTCTCGCATATCTGTTTTGTTGTTACAACCTTTCTTTTTATAATGTGAAAGAATAGAAGATATGGCAAATTCTCATTGGGTCTCCATTGCTCTTAAGAGCAATCCCTATTTTACTTGGTTCTGGGTACCACCAGTAGACCTTGAGCAACCTTTCTTGCTTGAGTATGTATTCTGTCCTGAACCTCAAACCATGCATGATTATGAGAAATCCTTTTCTTGCATATTGAATATAGATCCCTTTCTTTCTTGTTTCACTATTAATGATCAAATTCTCGCATATCTGTTGTTACAACCTTTCTTTTTATAATGTGAAAGAATAGAAGATATGGCAAATTCTCATTGGGTCTCCATTGCTCTTAAGAGCAATGCCTATTTTACTTAGTTCTGGGTACCACCACTAGACCTTAAATGAGGTGAAAATTCTTGTATTCTATATGTACATGTTCTTGTGGCTCAAATGAGTATTCTTCTTTGAAACAATGGTGTTGCTCTTAACATTCCCATATTCTTTAATCTTATGGACCTGGTATGGAAACGGGTGCTTTTCTTTGTTGCGTACCTAGTTACCTAGCGGATGCTAGACCTTGAAAGCCTTTAAGTAGAAAATTGCAAGATGTTTCCTTTTTGTCTTTTCTCCTCTTTAAGAATGACCTTATGGGTTGGCAGTCCATTTTGTAATTTAATTTCTTCCAAATGTTGAGAATGTCTCGTGTCTTTGCATGATAAGATTTACCTTTTTTCATGTCTTAGCGTCAATAGGCTTTTTTATTCACTTTATTTGAGTGTGATTGCGGATAACTGTGCCCTGCTTCAAATATTTTGAAATACTCTAAATATGTTATATTGATAATTTTTTTTTCTCTCTTTTTTTCTCCTTTTGTTCCCGTCATTTCTGTTTCTTCCATAAAGCAGGGTGGGGTTGTGGTTAAGAGGAGGTTGTGTAATTTTTGCAAGGTGTTGAGACTCATGTCGTACTTTTGGTCGAGTGGCTAATGAGCGTTTTCATATGTAGCCTAGGCAAGCCTCTCTTATATTCACCAGTCTGAATAACAAGGAAGAACTCATGGAAAGTAAAAATTCATTTCTGTTAACTGCCTTTCCCATCTATAAGCACTGATCTGTACTGGAGACTTCTGATAGGAAGGTTAAAGGGACTGTTTGTTCTCAATGGTGCTAACTTACCTTCCACTGGCGACAATTTTGGTTATTGTGCTGTCTATTTGTACAGTTGCATGATAATTTCACTGTTATGCTTACCTTCCAAAAGGAATACTTGACTTTGTTACATTGTTCTTATTTTTCTGTTTGACAGCTCAGGGATAATGGAGAATAAATGAGGAT